GGGATAAAAGATTTTCCTTACGTCCCGCAAAAAAATTGTCAACCACAATCACACTGTCACCACGAGCTATCAAACGATCCACTAAATGGCTCCCCACAAAACCAGCTCCACCAGTAACCAAAATCCTTGAACTTTTACTTTTCAACCCCAAAGGAAATTTTCCACCTGTCTCACCATCAAGTTTTTTGTCAAAATATTAGCGCAATATCAATTTTTATGCCACTGCTTGCTAACCACGGATGCATGATGCATCATATCTAAACCAGTGAAACAATGACCATGAAAGAAAAGTACACATAAAGAGGCACACCTACGATCTTGTCCCTAACTCCATTTTCCATTTTGGCCTGATTAATATCCATCAAGAAAATATCTTCTAACAAATTGAATTGTAGACTGATATACATATATATTGTGGAGTCTTTATTGGTTGTAGGACAATGAAGAAATAGTTAAACACACGTGCAAAAAGGGGCACAAATATTTCATATGCTTCAATCTATCTCTTATTAATTTACCGAAGTTTTGCCAAGCAATTGGTATGCAACTGACAAATAGAAAGCATAGACTCACATAACCAATTTGTTGAAAGCAAACTTGGGATGGCGATCATTCAATAAATGACGCTTTACTCAAAATTTGTAAGAATTTCCCATATATATTTTGACAGCATAATTAAAGAACTGATACAGCCTAGAAGCAGCAATATATGGTCATGTCTATTGCAATTTCTTCAATTAGATTTCTGACCTAATAAATGGATTCACTTACAAAGACAACCAATTGATTTCTCACAGTAAGAAAAAAAATTTAGAACAGAAATGTTGAGAATTTCCATAGCACTTGTATAACTAACTGATAAATTTCACCAAATTGTGTAATATTTTTCATATTCCCATGCAACAACAAAATATTAAGCCTTCCTCTGGCAAATTTATAAATAGAGAGAATAGCAGTGGTCCCACGAAATGTATGCATAATAATGGACCGTAGTTGCTAAACCTTTCCTGAATCCACTTTCCAAAAAATAGCCTCAACAATGCATCAAATAATAAAAATCAAAACTAGCCCACTATTTTTATTGGTAATACCTGCGATGTGGTGCCCAATTCCATCGAGCAACTCGTACGCAATCCTTCGAGGCAATTGAATGGGCTGATTGGATTCAGCAATCGACTCATAACGCGAAGGCAAAACGGAGGGAATGACGGTGAAAACCATACACGATATCGCAACTCCATGTTTTTCTGTGTTGTTAGAAACGACTTGAAGCACATAATAAAAAGGGTACGTTACAGAAATTCTCTTCTGATGCTTCTCAATAGAACTTCTTTTCAACAACTGATCAGTACCCATATCTTATTTTCTCCTAAATCACTCTCTTCTAAATTATTTTCTCATAATTTCACTGAATATAATGACGATTTGAAAATGTGGGATACAAAAGAAACATGGTAAGAAGTAGTAAGAAATCAGGTGGGATTTGTTGATTAAAAAATGTGTGTACATGTTGACTGTAGATACATGTTTGTATACGAGACAGAGAGAGAGGTATTTACGTGAGAAAAACTCGAATAGTGATCTAGGATGTCGGAGAAGGAGGGCTTTGCATGAAATTTCGCCGTAATATCGCTGTCTGGGGCGTGACTCTTGCTTCTTTCTGTTAACTAATTTCCACATTGTTAAGACCATGACTGCCTTCGCTTAAAACATGTACCTTTAAGTAAATAAGTACATTTTAAAATAAGTTATTTTTGTAAACATTGAAACTAGATGTATGACACACAATTTTGAAATGGTTTTAAGATAAAGAGTTGTTATCAAGTAGATTTTTCTACTTATAATAGGGAAAATAAGTTGTGCAAACATTAAGCATAGTCATACATATACATGTTTGGCTTGTCTTAAAAAGTTTATCATAAGTAAATAGTATATTTCGAAATAAAATATTCTTTAAGAAATAAGTAATTTATTGTAGCCCTCCTATATATGAACTATCTTGTTTCGATTAAGGGCGGACAATATGACCAAACCAAATTGAACGGTTCGGTTTGGTTCTACAAAATAAAATAAAATAATAATAATTATGGTTCTTAGAAATGAGAATCATATGGTTATGGTCTTGGTTCGATTCTAGTTTTAGAACTAAGAACAAAATTCAATATTTAAATTTTATTATTTTATATATATTTACAAATTAGTGAATCACAATTCACACCATAAAATTCAAAATTTAATTGAAAATTGGGACAAAAGATCAAGTACTTTTGATTTCTCATTTCTCAATGTACAGACTCGAGATCCTAATTCATTTTAGAGATCCAAACCCTAATTTATACCTTGTTTAAAAGTTTTTTTTTTTTTTTATTTTATTATTTTATATATATTTACAAATTAAAGAATCACAATTCACACCATAAAATTCAAAATTTAATGGAAAATTGGGACAAAAGATCAAGTACCTTCGATTTCTCATTTCTCAATGTACAGACTCGAGATCCTAATTCATTTTAGAGATCCAAACCATAATTTATACCTTGTTTAAAAGTTTTTTTTTTTTTTTGATTTTGTGTTCTAAAATGAAATTGTAACGAATTTTTAATTTGTTCTCTAATAGTTTATTCAGCCACATCTTATTTTTTAAAAAACTTTTTAACGATTCATGTAATGTGCAATTCAGTAGTATCAAGATAAGCTGAACTGAACTCTACATTTTATAAAATTCACGAAATATCCCTTTTATTCATAAAATCTCATAAAGTTGAACTCCAAAATCTCATAACTCAACTCTACATATTCTAAAATTCACTAAATATAAATTTAATTCTAGTTAAGTAATTTTTTTATGCCTTATATTTCTTCCCAAGCAAAGTTTAACAAGCCAAAATTTTTAAGAAACAAAAACATCATGAAGCTAATTCCTTTTTGACTTTCACTCTTTTAAATTCCTTGTTAAAAACTCTTGCATCCATATACAATAGTTATGAAGCATAGACTAAGGAAGAAAACTATCGATCTTCACCAGAAAGGCCGGAGCTAAGCAAAATGCTCAGTGGACTATTTTTTTTTTTATAATCCTAACTTAATAACAAACGAGAGCTGCTACACGTACATGACGGAATTTTTAAGATTCTGCCAGGCCACACACATTCAGGTGGGGTCCATATTTTTTAATCATTTTTTTAAAACAATGGGGCCCTCTCTACAGTGAGGGGCTTGTAAGCCCCTGTAAGAAAAAGCTCCTGTACGTGGAGCATTATACAATAACAAACACAACTTTGGTTCAAGACCTGAAGAGTGCAACAATGGAAACAATAATCAGTACTCGAGAGTTCATCTATCAAGCCGAGCTTCAATTCGTTGGTCGATGTTCATCCAAATTGCAGAATTTCAAAAACATTATGTTATAGAAGTGATGCTCAATAAAATCTTATTTCCATACTTATCTCGGATTGGCTGCTACTTTATCAAATAAACTACAAGAACAACAATAACAAGTAAGCTTTATTCCCAATAAGTTTAGCATAAGCTACAAGAAACATTTTCTCCATTTCAAGAGCTATGCCTTCTAAGATGTCCAAATCTATTTGTGTTTTAAATCTATTCAAGCCATGTCTCAAACATTTAAATTGTCACTTAACTTATTTTTATCCTCCATTGGTGCTCATTCTACATATTGAAGTATATTCTTACCTTTTTCGTTATCTATTTCAGCCGTGGACACTTATCTATTTTAATGTGTCTATCTTCACAATCTCTTGCACATTTTGTCCTCTCAAAACTAAATAATATAAAACATAACTGACTTTTGTAACTTAATGAATAAAGATGTTCAACACCACCTGTGGTTAGAGATGGCAACGGGGGTTCAGGGCGGGCACCCCGCGCCCCACCCCACCCCATCCCGCCCCGCGCCCTCCTCACCTTAGACGGGACGGGGCGGGGCGGGTTCGGGGAGCGGGCTTGCCCCATTTCCTGCCATGTTTATATATTTTTTTCAAAAACTTTCAATTAACTATTTTTTGTTTTCAATTTGTAGTTAATTATTTTTTTATTCTTCACGGGCAGGTTCAGGGCGCTTCGGGGCGGGGCACCCCCTTCCCGCCCCACCAACCCGCCGGGTCGGGGAGGGGAGGGGAGGGGAGGGGCGGGGCGGGGACGGGTTTTTTTGCCATCACTATCTGTGGTCTATAGAACACAATTTAATAGGGATTTTTATACTATACTTGTAGACCTAGTCTTATAACTATGCTTAACAAATAAATTCATTGAGTTGAAAAAAGAGGCATGGCTGGGTTGATATAAAAAGGATGCTCGAATGATGGGCAAGGGAATTGATTGAGAAAAATTTCACGTTCTTATTGTAGGATCGTGACTCAATCAACATATGTTGCTGTCATGTCTACAACTCAATTCCCTAATTACTACAAGGATTATCCCAATCCAAAATATTAGCGGTAAAAGAAAATACACGTTAAGCCGATCACAAGAATACCAGTTTACATACATATCATCGGCCTGGTCTTAGGATCTAACTCACCCTCCATGGACGAAACTTGCAGAGGAACCTTTAGGTTTACATTCACTATAATTGTTGACATTGTTTCTGTACCGTTGACGTGGACAACAGATTCCGGCTCCACTCATGTCCTTGTAAGTTTGCTCATGCATACTTGGACAAACATTTAGTCACACGTGGCCTTCTCCGATTAGGGAGGCTGTCGCGTGCACTCGGACGGTCAGTCAGTCGATGAAGTATTTATATTTAGGTGTGGGATGTGCTTTAGACACGAGTCACTTAAATTTTCAGGCACCGGGTGTGTATATGAGAGTATGTAAAAATGGGAGAGAAAAATCTTACAAAGTCTGTAGTGTTTAGAGTTGATCTACTCTTTAAATGTCATAAATTGTGAGCTTTATAGTAGTAAAGATGAAGTGGTAGCCATTGGATGAAGAAGCACATGACTTCATCTCCTTATTCGAAGCGTCTCATTGTAGGCTTCATATCACACATACTAGGCCATGCATCATTTAATGCACTCTGAAAAGGTAGACGCTCTAGGGTCTAGGTTTGAGTACCTATGTAGTAGGCTGACAAGATTTGACATTCTTCTGCTACAACATAGGCCATCATATGCTTCATATCACAATACTAGGCCATGCATCATTTAATGCACTCTGAAAAGGTAGACGCTTTAGGGTCTAGGTTTGAGTACTTATGTAGTAGGCTCACAAGATTTGACATTCTTCTGCTACAACATGGGCCACATCAATCATTCGGATGAGATCTTTATTTAGAGCTACACCACTTTTTTAAATGGCATGAGTTGTGAGTTTTTATAGTAGTAAAGATGAAGAGGTAGTCGTTGAATGAAGAAGCACATGGCTTCATCTCTTTATTTGAAGAGTCCCATCATAGGTTTCATATAACACGTACTAGGTGTACGTAGTAAATTACGACTCTGAAAAGGGAGACTCTCTAGGACCTAGGTCTGAGTACCTATGTACTAAGCTGACAAGATTTGACATTCTTATGCTACAACATGGGCCACGTCAATCATTAGGAGGCTTTCGCTTTAATAATGTGGATTCGACCACTTATATGGTGCTTTGGCTTTAGAGTTTCAGCCACTTGCACAGTGTTTCAACTTTAAGGCCTTAGCCACTTACACAATGCTTCAATTTTAGGGCTTCGACCACTTACATAGTGCTTCGGCGTCAAGGCCTCAGCCACTTAGTGCTTCCATTTGAGGGCTTCAACTATTTATACAGTGTTTCAGCTTTAGGGCTTCAGCCACTTACACAGTGCTTTAGCTTCAGGGCTTCGGCACTTTACATACTGCTTCAGCTTCAGGGCCCCAACCACTTAGTGCTTCCGCTTCAGGGCTTCGGCCATTTACACAGTGCTTCGGCTTCAAAGTTTCAACCCCTACATAGTGCTTCAACTTCAGGGCTTCAGCTACTTGGTGCTTCAGCTTCAAAGCTTCGGTCCCTTATATAGTGCGTCGGCTGAAGCAATAGATTACCTCTCTATTGTTGTTTTGTAGCATGTGGTGCCACACTTTGGCCATGGAGCTTTTGCTTACGCATGGCACTTCGGGTAAGGCGTCGATTCATCATTTTTACCTATGATCTCGGTTCAATTTTTTATGACGCAGAGTATGGGCTTTTTGTTTGGGCTTCGAGAGCCTCGGTTTTGAGAGTAACAATAATCATAGGATTATATTGACTAGTACTATCTCACATATGCATGACAACCAATTCAACTTCCATTGACTTAGCCTATATTGCCCAAAATTTATTACACATGTAAAACATTAAATTTTAGAAATGATTCATCTCTCCGTTTCTCTAAA